TGGTGTGTAGGACGAAGGGGGCGGTGGGGGGGGGGGGGGGGAGAGAAGGGAGCGTGTGTAGTCAATAAGCTAGGCTTATCAATTAATCTTATTGGTTAATCATGTAGTGGACTACCTCTAGTAGAGATGTGACTGCCTGAAAGATATACTCAGTAAAATGTTCTAGGAATGCAAGAAAACAGTAAATAATTTACTCTTTGGGACTATTTTCATTAATGATGAGGGACACTAAGGAAAATTGAGGCAAATCAATATGCACAAGTTAAAGTGACATAAACCCCCATATGGGTGACCTCATTCGTGATCAAGTGTCCTGAGCTCTCGGTAACTTAATCCTCCTTGCTAACTTTTTCTAGAGATCATTCTTATGTAGGGTAAAACTGAACAACCTGAACTTAGCAGTAGTCTATTTGCAACCTTCACTGAATGCACTAAGGAGTGAAAAAGTCCTGCTCATTGAGCTTCTGCAGAGGTGCTGTATGATTGGCTGAGACTAGCTGTCCAAAGGAGGATTTACAGATAATAGTGTTGAGACAGGTTTGCTTCCATTTAATCAAACTTTAGTTAATCCATAGACATTCTGGTACTGAACCAATAGCTGACCTATCAATCTGTGGCAGGGGAAAAAGAGGTGAGAGTGGTAGGAGGAAAAGGAAAGGCAAGGCAAGCTGAGGGGAGGTAGATGGTTACTTCGTCAATTTTCTGTTGGGGAGAAAGTGGAGCAAGCAGAAGGGGAGCAAGTCCAAAATATGGCACGCCATTGTACAAGCTTCTCCTAGGGGAGAGGATGAGAGAACAAATATTTGTCTGTCCTGTTGCTTAATGCATGGCTGGAGAGTGCTCAGATACTACTGTGAGGAACATGGTGTAAGAACTTGAAGAACAGAATAGATTATATTTCGAATGGGAGTAGAAAGGAATGGAATTGGGATCCCAGTAATTGTTCCAGTGAGAATGGATGGGGCAGCTGGGGCTGGTGGGAAACAAATAAGAAGATATCTCTTCAGATTCACATCTGAAGGCAGAGAAGAAATGTGAATACAGAAAGTCAAGAGGGAAATACACTCAAAAAGGTCCGCTGATGTGGGGTGGGGCAAAAGGGGCAATTTCCCTGGAGATTTAAAGAGGTCCGGGCCCATTTGAATTGCCACTGGAGTGCTGCTCCACCACTCCATGCATCTCTGAGGGGTGTCATGGTCTGGGTGGTGCTAAAGGCTGACTGCCCTTGGCTCCACCTCTTCCTGTTGGAAGCCCCGCCCCTTCCAGGGACACAGAGCTGCTTCCCCACACTTAAGTTTCAAAAAGTATTTGAGAATAGCAGAGAAGAACATCTGCAAAAGGAAATTAACACTAAGAGCTGATAAATTGGGTTATTATTTACTTATTTACTGTACACTGTCATGGAGGCAAATTAAACTTAAGGAGAAATGGGATTTTGTTATTTTAAATCTGTGGTCCTCTAGAGCCTCCTGGGCATAAGCCATAAGGGAACAACATATGCTTCTTTGGAGTAGTCATATGCAGTGGAAGCATGAGAGGCATATGACTTCATTTCTGGGAAACCGTGGAAAGACAGACACAATGTTATGAGAAAACACATAGTTTCTTATTCCTTTAATCAAGTACCAAGGAAACCTGTCTTGTTACGAGACCAGTTGGGTATTCAGAGCAACTGGTCTAATTAATGTCTTCATTAATGATGTGGGACACTAAGAAAAGTTAAGACAAATCAATGTGCATAAGCATAATTAATGAAGACTGGTCTAATTAACCCACTTCTAGGATCCATGCTGTTGGATCCCGAAGGAGGAATTGGTCCCTTATCTGTATCACCATTGATATGGCATAATTCAGGGAATGAGATTTGTTGAATTTGTGTTTTCTTTGATGCCGGTTCTTTCTGCATCATCAGAGCAAAACAGATATTAAGTGTCTTTGTAAAAGAGACATTCGTGTTTTGTTTTTAAAAAAATTCTCAGCAGCAGATGGGTAGGGTTAAGAATGTGTGTGTGTGCGTATAGAATCAAAAGGATATTCCTACTTTGTTATAACAGTTTTAAAGCCTGTGTACTTTTAGGTCAAAACTACCTGAGGTTGGTGAAGTGGGAAAACATCATGAGATGGTGACGTAACCTATTCCACTTTCAACCCCCAACTAACCTGTGCCATAGATGTAGGCTGATTTTGCAAAGCTGCTTGGGGCAGCAGCTGCTGTGGGAGAAGCTCACATGATGGCTGAGAAGGCAAAGACGCCTAGGTTAAAAAAAATAAGACAAAACTTTATTCATATGCACGGCTTCTTTAAATCTCAGGTCTTCTAGTGCGATGGCCATTGCAGAGCTCTTCCTTCACTTGCTGAAGTGAACCTGTGGCCTATTTTACACATGGCTTGTTATCTAACTCCTCCTGGTAAATTCCATTTATTTTTAAGTTCCGTTGTGAACCTACCTGAAGAGTGGCAGTTTGACTGAGTCTTTGCATGGATGAATCCTGAGGTATGCTGGTTGTTCTTTGCAAAGAGCGAATTCCACTGGACTCTGTGATTGGCGTGGCTGTAGGAAAAAAAACAACATTTTTTTTTCATATTTAAGAATAATCACTATATACAATCAGAGTTGTGAGACATAGTTAGCAATACTGTAGGGACTGATCAAACTCCAGCTGGAATCCAGGGGAGCCAATGATGCCAGTGAAACTTGATAGCTGAAGAGGATCCGTGCAAATGTATATACGGGGCCAGACTCAGTCATTGCTCCACCTAAAGAGTCCAAAGCTGTGTCCCAAAAGGGAAGATAGGGATTCCCCTTTCATAAGTGAATCCTATGCCACCCTGTTCCAGCCCACTGGCAGGAAGTTGTTTACCTGGGGCCTGGCTAAAAGGCCTTCAATGCCAGTGATCCTGAGCCAGCAGAATGTGCCTTGCAGGCTGTTAGTACTGACCTAATTCAGAGTGGCCTGATGCTGCTTTAACTCAGGGGTTCCCAAACTTTTTTCCCCTGAAGCCCATCTGTGCAGCTCTAATAGGCAATGCAGCCCACTGTTAACATGCATCTGTCAGGGAGAGGGGCACCATGGGACATGTATGTCCCCTTACCTCAGCAGGGGCCAAGGCCAGTGAGAGGGTGAAGGGGCAAGGCAGGTGCCCACAAAGACACTCCCTGCCTGGGAATGAGGAAAGGGCTCCGGGCCCAGAAGTGCCAGGCAAAGGCAGGTGATTGGGCCAGGCCAGGCCATTGACTGGCAATCCCAATCATAGTGTTTTCCAGGCAGAAAGAGAGTGACACCACTGAGCCCCGGTCTTCGATGGGCACAGGGTCAACCCTCCAGAGGGGCTGACAGCCACGGGACACGGGGTGCAGTAACACACAGCAGTAATGGCCACACACCATCCAGCCTCTT